CGTGACGGCCTGGCCCACCGCCAATCCAGGGATCGAAGACCCAGAGCGAAGATCATTTTCTCCCAATTTGGGTGACCCCCTTTCACAGTCTCTGGAATTAGAAATCATAATCAAAAAGATCTAATTACATTGAAGTGGAGTTATAAATGCACTGGTGCTGTTTCATTTCAGGACACCGAGTCGGGGTTATGTAAGTGACCCACTGAGGTTATTCTGCTCGCTGCTCCGTCCTGCTTTCACGAAAAAAAACGGGGAATGGCACCATTTGCCAGGACCGATGGAGAGCCACGGGGCCGGCCAGCACCGGCACCGACGGAGAGCCGCGGGGCCGGCCAGCACCGGCACCGACGGAGAGCCGCGGGGCCGGCCAGCACCGGCACTCACACTGTCCCAGAAGCACAGAACGGGCACAGAGATCGGTATGCGGAGTTGAGCTGCCTAGTAAAACAGGACTGCTATCCAGAAGCTTTCTGCTTGCTGCCTTTCTTGTAAACTTTATTGGGAGAATCTTTCCCAGTTAAATGCTTTGTGCTACGGTGACAGAGGCTGTCCAGCGAAAACAACATGCAGCTGAACACATCCAGCCAAATGGTTATGACAATGAAATCATTCATTAATATATCTTTCACAGCCAATGAGAACTCACTGTAATCACGAACACATCAAGCATCACAGATATCACCAAACTACATTTTCTGTGTGAACCTGGGCCATTTCCCTCGGCGCCTTTCAAAAATCACAGCCGTTCTGAGCCATATTCCCATTATGCAGCTAAACATAAAGTTAACCTTCAGTTACCATGTTACAGTTTATAATACTGAGGTCTAGTGGGTCAGTTATTCAGTATAGAGGCATGTAGGGACACTGGAGCTAAATATAACGTCCTCCTGTCAGGTGAAGGACCTACACACAGCTCGTGTATTTCAGCAAAATGGCATTGGATAAATGCCATAGTTTTAAAAAGGCACACAGTGAAGCCTTCCCTTCCATCACTTGCTTTTGCTGCATATTAAAGCAGTTGGGACTGTGTAAAAGGTGTGATTTCACTGGGGGATACACACCTTGGTAAGTTCTAGCTGAGGCAGTCAGCCTATGAGGCGTCAGGAGAGACAGCCAGCTGCAGATGTGACCACGGCAGTCAGCCTATGAGGCGTCAGGAGAGACAGTCAGCTGCAGACAGCCAACTGGCAACCTTCTGATCACAAGGACAGCATCCTGACCCACTGAGGACAGAGTGCGGGGAGGGGCCTGTGGGTCTGCACAGGAGGACAGAGAGCGGGGAGGGGCCTGTGGGTCTGCACAGGAGGACAGAGAGCGGGGAGGGGCCTGTGGGTCTGCACAGGAGGACAGAGA